CAAGAAATGTCTGAAAATATATTCAAGCTCACTAAAACAGCTACAAATTTTAAAAATGAGAACTTTTTTTTGCAAAATTCTATCACGTAATGAGGTGAGATTGTGGGGAAACAGGCCCTCCTATACACAATAAACCGGGATATCATCTATTTGAGGGTAAATTCGCAATAGTTATCAAAATTTAGAATATGCATACTCTATGAATAATCTGTACCAACAGACACTACTCCTGTCAAGAAAAACTTAATGAGACAAACAGACATAAATCAAAAAGAAATGGTGTGGAAACTACTATAAAAGAAAAGTATGGGATGCTGTGAGAGGGTATAATCTAGAGTGGGAGACTTTCTGATGAACTGATTATTTAAAACGAGAGAAAACAGAATGAGTAGAAGTCAGTTAACCAAAGGGAGGGGCAAGAATATTCCAGACAGACAGACAAGAACAGCACATACAAAGGCCTCCAGGCCAAAAGAAACGAATTGCTTTAAGGGACTGAAAGAAGTCCAGTGTGACTACATGGAAAGGAGAGTAAGGGCCTGAGTAGCACTTATCAGACTGGAAAAGTATGATGAAAATGCTCCTAGGTCTTAATAATGGTTTATTTTGAGGTTGATGTGTGAGGCTTAAACATGACAGTGACAAGATCAGACTTGGGTTTTTAAAAGGTCACCTTGAAGCATCATTATATCACAATTTTCCATTAGTAAGGTGCCTTAAATTTTGTTGACTTGCTAGCACAGATTTACCCTGCTTTGAAAACAAACTATATACCTGGTTATATATTATACATGAAATATCATATGTCTTCTTTAAATTATTTAGCCATATTAAACAAAAACAAGTTTTAAGACAGTCAATTATTAACATTTGCTGTATCTATTATAAATTTAAGGTTCCTTCAAAAGTTTGCAATTTTTATAAAGTATGGACAGTATTTTAGTTTGTTTTTTCATACAAAATAACATAACTTTGAGCTCTTTCATTACTGTGCCTAATCAACTCTTTTCTAAGCAGATCAGACAACATAAATGAAGGCAAGCTAACAGGCAGTTTTCAGTGGAAATAAGCAGCTATTTCTCCCTCCCCAAAATATTCTCTCTAGAAAAATGACAAAAGGTAGACCTTTTAGGTCATCTAGCAAATACCTCTTGAATGCTTTGACATGGCTTATAAGTTTTGTTGATGCTTCAGAGAAAAGTAGTAGACACACAAATGCATATATTCATTTCAGAGAGAAACATATCGTAAAAACACCAAACTGGTTTTTATAAAACTATATTTGGGGGATTATATGGACAGCTGAAAAAATACCTACTGAGAAAAAGTAATTGAACTTTGTAATCTCTTAAACAAAGTAATCAGAACCAGTATATTTCAAGTTTTCTTTCAAACTAAATTATTCACATTTTTGATTCTTGTTCCATGTTTTCTTCCTGCAGCACATTCTGTGTACCTCCATCACACTGACCATCCTAAACCACATATAGGATCATGTCTCCTCCCTGTGTGTAAAGTGTCAATGATTCCTCACTGCTTTCAAAATGTAGTCTGGACTTTTCAGTATGGCATTCAGGGTCCTGCTATAGCTTTACCTTTCCAACATAAATTTCATGCTCAAATTAATTTGGCTTTAAAACTTCCTGATATCTGATTGGATGCTATCAGCTATCACAATTCTGCCCAACCTTCAAGGCCCAGGTCATATTTCATCTCTTCTGATCACTATTCAGAAGTGAAACCTCTCCAAGCTAGAGCATTTCCTTTTTATCATTCCCATCACATTTACCATATGCCATAAAGGACTGTTTGTACAATTTTCTGCTTTAGAGAGTTAGTATCCTAATGGCCAGTTCTGCACAGCACTTAACATGGCAGGAAGACAGTAAGTATTTGTTAAATGATGAATAAATTTTCTCCTCAATTTTATAAGTTTCAGATATTCAGAAAAGCAGAAAGAATCCCAAAATACCTTGAAATACATGGCCAAAGAAAGCCATACCTGAGAAACCATGCATTTGCTTATTTGGTGGGGGGAGGGTCAAAGCTCTCCTGCTATGTAGGTGGATCTACTGCTATTTTCAAACATCCATTATGAAATGAGTAGTTTCTTATATAAAATTTTTTAAATTCTCCACACCTTAAACCTATGAATAGTATACTAAAATAGCACAGAAGTCACCAATAGCAGTCTTTAATTTTCTATGTCTTATTCCTTAGAGGGCTCCTAATTAACAAAAACAACAGCAAAACTCTATTTTATTCAGTTACTAAAGGTTCCTCCTAGTAAAATCCAGACCTTCAGTAATAACTGGGTTTATATCTGTTGCAGGAATA